GCAGTAGCAGTAGCAGTACTAGTAGCTGTATTAGTAGTAGTACTAGTAGCAGCGTTTTCGTAGTAGATTACTTGTACTCAGACTTACTACCGGAAGTAGTAGAGGACGGCCCCTGCCCTCCCCCCTCCCCGGTCCCAAAAAAATAACGCTTCGTGTGCAGCCTCTTTTACCATGCTTCTTGTCAGAGCCCTTTGTTGCTCCAAGTCTCGCGAGACATGGAGTGCCGAGGAGCTTCTGCAAGCTGCAGACAATGTCATACTCCGTCGAACACCCGGAGAGGTTGCTGGCCATAGGACCACGCGGCAGTTGTGGTGCGCTTTTCACTTGCACGATGAATGCTTGGAATTTACAATCCTCTTGGCCCCCAAGTCGTTTGGCAGCGGTTCTGGCATGTTCTGGCACCATTCTGACTGGCGAATCCTCCAGATGGGTCTTTCACTCGTGTTGCTACGGCTCTACATGGTCGAAAACTGCAACTGTCTTCGAAGGGGGTGTCTCGTGGTTTAAAAGAGACCTCTAGCGGTTTCCGGTGCGGTTGTGAACCGTGATCTGTGATCGTTCAAAGCAATATCCACTCTCTCGATGCTACTGCCTGCACAAATCGATTCCTTGTTTGATGCTTGCTTGTTTCAACACACCTTCGGGACATTCCCTTCCAGCTTTGCTGTTGAGTCTTATCTTGAGCCACTCGCAGACGCTGGCAAAACGTCGGCGACTGTCAGCAACACCCGGTTTCGCCTGCACCTGGGCTGGCAGGACCAGGCAATGTGAATTTGCGACGTATCCCCAAGTTCGATGGAGGCAGCCAGGACTACTTCCCAACCTCGTGCAAGCTGAAGCGCGACTCGTAGCTGTTTTCAAATTATACTCCCACCATCTCCCACCGTGTGCCATGCAGGCCTTAATGTTTCTGATCGAGTGGGGCTGGGAAGCCAATCAACGAAACTTGTTTAACACTTGAGATTGCGCTAGGACGTGGGCAGGGTTTTGCAGAGTGTACACAGTTTCATGGCTGCATAGGAAGGAGTGATTGGAACGGAGATTCGTTTTGACTCTTCCGACTTGATAACTGCAGGAGAGGTCTTAGTCTGCTCTGGTATGGCGTCAATCCAGTCAAATGGTGGCATGCTCTCCACACGGACGTGCAGGCAAAGGTATCTCGAAATCTCTCAAGTTCAATCAATGCTACAAACATCCAGAAAGCTTCGTCTTTGCAGGACAATGTTTTGATCGAGCTCGTCTCGGCAACAAACGTGTACGTGTTCCCTCGCGAGCTCTTCTGGAACACACCCTCAGATGTCAATATCACTGGGGAGTATCATAAGATCAGGCAGGTCATGGTGCGTTCTTGCCGCCAAGTTGCGGTCTTGCGGTTCCCTGGAAAGGCTAGAGCCGGGACAGGGAGTTGCCATCCCGAGCAACTTCCTGCATACAGTGGAGCATTTGTCGGAGCGCTTCTTCATTCCAGCTTCGACTGTAGGTCCACTGTAGGTTTTCGAGAGGTTGTTTGCATGTCCATAGTCCGCAGGACAGCCGCTTGGCTGTCAATTACTTCTTTGAACCCGAATTTGGTGAAATGCAATGGCCAAATGTCCGAATCTCAGCTTCGACTGTAGAGCTGATCAGCCCAATGCCTCCTGCCCTCGCCCACCGACGCCAGGGCAAAGGCAATTACTACACTGAAATGGCCAAAGCAAACAAATCGCTGCCTTATTGCAATTGCAGTTCTTGACTACGCAGGATGCATTTCTGTCTCACCAGCCTAGGCATCTGGCCATGAGATCCTTATGGTTTGGTTCCATTGGGCAGCTGTGGGACAGGTGCATGGTTGCCTGCGCGATGTCTCTGCGGGATTATGTGGACAACCCTGGGCAGGTTCAAAATTGGTATGTACATGCTCTCTGGCAGCTTCGAACCAGCGTGTGCGAGCCATGTTTGCAAAGTAGCTGATCTGGTTGATGAGTGCTAGCTGAGGCACAGCTGGAAGATGGAGGTGCTTTAAGATGCAGCCAGATGACTGCTCTGCGGCATGATGAGCTAATGGCTTTGTCAGCCCGCAGGCAAAGTGTGCATGCGTTGAAAATGAGATGTTCCGCAAAAGGGAGTGCCGCACATCATGTTGTGAAGGCTTCGAGACAGAAGCTGCTAGCTAGCAGCAATCCAACGATGCCGAACAATTCTTTACACGGCCATGCAACGTAGGCGTTCATCGCTGCAGAGGGTTTCACTTGCTAGCAGGTTCCCGCAAGTAAGGTGCACGGTGCCCCTTCGTTTTCTCTTCTGTTTCTGCGACAAAATCTCTCCAGATCTGTGGTTGACCGTGCCTGTGATGAATTCAGTCCCAATGCTTCTGCAAACAAACGGATCTTTGGCCGACCCTCCTGGCCTTCTGCATTGCCAATCGTGATTTCGCGGATTGTTCGTGGGTTCCCACGTGGTTCCCAGGGCCAGATTCGACAAGGGCGTGTCGCGAGTATAAAATCTCTTTGTAGCCAAAGACCAAGCAATCCTCGCGACCCCACGCTCGCAGGGTTTTCGAGTCTGCAGAGGCAGCTTCTGCACAGTGCCCTTCGTCTCCCAGGAGCTGCGAACCTGCCTGGCGGGCTGCTTGGCCGGCTTCCTGCCAGGGGGCCTTGGTTTGGAGCGAGGGCTCGACCTAACGCTGCGTGGAGTCGCCTCCTGCTGTGAAGTTATGCAGGAGCAGAAGAGGTGATCCGAAACCCGGGCGTCGCCTATCATTGTGTTGTTGTCCGCATACATCGAATTCGACCAGCAATGGCGAGGGATGCTTTTCGAAAGTTTGTGGATTGATTGAACTCCTTTAGGCAGAGCGGCGTCAACCAACTAACATATTGACTCAATACTCATGGAACCCGAGTTGCGCAGTTCATACATTTTGTAATCAGACGGATGGTAAAAATCATCTCAAGCTCGTACCACGTTGACTGTGGGTGTACAACAAATTGACGCAAACCGGCGCAGAATCCCGGTCACGCTGCAAGCATCAAAAGTATGGCAAAACGATGCACAACGCCCCCATACACGCCGGAGGAAAAGAACGATGCCAGAATTGCTGTCAAGAGAGACAGGAGCTAATGTACGTGATGAAATAACCGTGGCCATGGACGGCCGATATCAACTGGACAACAGACGGCAGGCCGACACCAGAGCCGGAGAGAGGCGTGGCAGGAGCTCGTCGTGTTTAGCGGTACATTCGGTTGATTTTGGTGGTGGCATTCAGCACTTGCTGCGGGTTTAGTGCGGGCTTATCGAGCACCGCCAGCTCTCCGCCAGCTCTCCGATGCCTCCGCATGCAACACAGTGGCACGCCAGCTGACGGCAAGCCTTGACTTGAGATCGAAGCGGCTCTGCATCCACAGTGCGCTGGAACAATCGCGCGCCACCGGGAAAACGAGGCCTTGGCGGTGACGCAGGTGGTGCACTTGCGATGCGGTCGCCGGCCCTGGCCGAAGTCCTCTCACTGGCCACTCTTGCTTACTATAGTTGTGGTTAGGGTTAGAGTTAGAGTTAGAGTTAGCGTTTGGGTTATGGGTTGTGGTTAAAGCAATGCCCATCGGTGGCTAAGTTTATTTTTAACTTCTGGGGGCGTCTCAGAGACGAGGACCTCTTCGTCATATTGATCAAACATCACGCCAAGTCTCTGCATGTGACGAAACAATATCATGATCACCCTTGTCAAATTAACGAGGAAGTCCTCAAAACGAATCTCGCTATGTATGCTTTGTACAATCTGGGTTTAACAATGTGCAGAGCAAACGTCGCCGGCATGTAAAATGTCGCTCGAAGCACGGTGCCAATGTGCAATACTGAATTTCCGGCCTGCATCGTTGTACAGCCGCCTTCCGATGGCTGGACATGCCACCCAGCGGGTGACGGTCGTGATACACGAATTGATGTCATACTCGGTGACTTGTGATTCGTGCCGAGTGCAACTTGGAATGACGACTCGAGCCACTCGATTGGCACAAGCGTGGACCGTCGGTGCGTTCATTTCCGTGTAAAGCTTCCAGCACAAGCCCAACGTGTCCAAATGTGTCCATCATGGCCGTCGCCACAACCTGAAGCAGTGGAGGCCTTCTTGAACGATGACAATTGCTCATCTGCATACCACGCCAACGTTGCATTCGAGATTTCACTTGTTATCGTTTGACTGTCTGGAAGCTATTATAGACCCATCAGTCTGCTGAGCCTTCTCAAGCGACTTCTCCCGCATGCGAACCCCCGCGTTGACGAGAGCCAAGCTAACACTGCGCCTTCGTGCCCGCAAGCGCACCTTCTGCGATTTTGTTGATGCGCGCCAAGCCTTTGATGTGGCGTGAAGGGATGCTGTGCTTGTGCAATTTGCAGCTGTTGGTGTTGCAGGTTCCACGTGGCGGGTAGTAGATGACCTCTGCAGCGCCATGCGTGCGAGAGGACTGGAAAATGGCGCGCTTGGGAACTCCGGTGCGGGGTGGGCTGGCCATGTAGGTCCGAATGAGGCGATGCTGTGCACAACATTCACCGAAGCCGAGCCGCGATGCCCGGCATTTGTCGCACGCATCTGCCGCAAGCCGCTCACCCCAGACCGCGGGATGAAACTCGGTGGCCAATGCAATTGTAGGACGACGCCTTAACAACGCCGGCATCCTTCGCCGACGAGCCTGCAGCCGAATGATGAGGCCACGCCAGGTTGCCCGAGTTGGTTCGCGATGGTACCACCCACAGCCGTTTCAGGCGACCCAAATTCTTGGTGATACTTGCCCCTGCTACAATCCGCAGCCGGATCGTGGCTTGGCGATGCCTTGGCCCCTTGGACTACATTTCCAGGCGGCTCGGCCCCGCAGCGTCAGCAATGTCGAGCACGCTGTCCAACCACGTACGGGGCCCAGAGTTGGCTCGCATGAAGCGGTGCAAGCCAAACTGACCCCAAGGCGGTGCTTGTGACGGTTTGTTGTGCAGACCTTGCATGACCTTGCCAGTGGGCCCACCAACTCCGGCCCATGCCGACGATGCAACGAGCGCGCTGTGGGCACAGACGAGATCGCGGAGCAGCTGGTGCGCACCGGCATTCTGCCGTCCTCCAACCTCGCTCCCCAACACCACGAGCTGTTGCGGGCCGCCGGCGTTCAGCTCCGGGTAGTCGTCTCCCTTGCCCCCGCCGAGAGGCGTCGCGCTGGAGATGACGAGGTCCAGGTGGTGCAGGTCGTGGGAGCGGACGTAGGCACGCGTTGGCGCTGTTGTGTGCGCTAGCGACTCATGGGGGACCGCCTGTTCAACGGCCTCCTGAGCCACGCTCGTACCCGCGCCCGTTCGACAATTGTCTGACGATGTCTGACGGGAGCATGAGCAATCACAACGTGCATGCGTCGGAGCAAAGGGCCCCGCCGAAAGGCGTCGGGCCGTAGATGACGACAGCCTCCCGAGCCACATGCACCCATGCCCGTTCCACAATCTTGGCCTTGCGAGCTAACAAACCGGAGCAGCGCATGCCAAGGCGTGGCTGCCACAAGCATCCACCTCGCCTCCACATCCGGGCGGGCCACAACGGTTGGCACAACAGCGTTGCTTGGGGCGGAAGCGTGCAGGCCGGGCACTGGCTGTGGCAGTCAACTAGGCCCCGGCCTGTGGGCCAGCCTGCGACCGGAGGAGGGGGCCAGCGGAGGGCGACAGAGAAGGCAGCAGTGTGCGTTCGCGGGAGAAAGGTTGCGAATACGCGATGCGCAGTGCTGCCGTAATCGGCGAAAGCTGGCGAGCGTGCTCGAAGAACGGACAGCGCATCAACCACGCGGCCCAGCACGTGGCAAGCGCAGCGAGTGGCAGAGGTCTGGCCTCCGTGACATTGCCATGCTTTTCGCGCCTTGAACATCTGTCGGGGCGACGTGGCCTATAGGCAGAGTTGCAAAAAGTATGTCAAGGTCTCCCAGATTGCATCGTCATGTGCATGAGAACCACGGCATGTGGTTGGACAGTCCGCAGCGCATGGTTAGCTCGCGGCGCGTGCGACATCGCGAGGAGGAATCGCGCGCACTGCAAGTCGGGGAGCTGAGGGCAGCTGGTGCAGGAGCTCTCTTTCCGTCCGCATCCGCTGCTGAGCCCACGCAGTCACGATTCCAAGTGGCCGACACGGGTGCCCAGCACTCGGAGCACGCGCTGAGGAAGTGGCCTGTCCCCACGCCAAAGCCTAGATGCCTTAGATTCTACCGGGACGGGGCGGGCATTTGTCGTTCCCTTCCTTGGACGCAGTGCCACATTCGGCTTGAACGATTTCGAGTCCTTTGTCGCGCCCGTCGTGAGGACGCAGACGTCGCACAGGAACGCTATACGGGCTGTTGGAGGGGTGCGCTTTCCGCAAGGCCTGTCTCACGGAATACAGGCCGGAGGCAAACGGGTCGTGTTGTTCTAGCTGTAGTTCTCATACCCTCTCCATGTTGCGGCAATGGTTCTGGGCATCCCACAAAGAGTATATGGACAGTCTCTCGTAGAGGAGCAACACGAAAGGGACTAACTCCAGTGCGGCCGTTCTGAGTGCAGTGACGAAACAAGCCTGAGACAGGGTGTCGTCGGTGTTGATTTCTGGAGTTCGGTTCG